AAATAACTAATTTTGAGTCCTGTTCCAAAAAAAGGTGGAAGTGTTATACAGTACAAACATTTGTATTTATATATTTGCAGCTATGGGAGAGAGGACTGTATTAAATTGCTGTCTTAATATGGATTGAAATACTTTTCCATGCAAGAATCAAAAATAAATTATTCATAATATCATACTCAGACAGGTGATGCCTGAGCAACTCTGAGTTTCCAGAGGCAAAATTAAATTTAGCTGTTAGGTAGCTGTCATTCAGCAATTTCAAAATTATTTCTACTGGTGCAATAAGCAGATTAGGTGCAATTTTCAACCCTTTCTTGAAATTGAAAAACACACAAGCCAAAAAAAGCGGCAGAACCAGCATTACTGACAACATAAAATACATCAATGGAGTCAGATCCTATTTATTAATAGTTTTAGTGGGATTCAACATTCAAAATCTGCTTCATATTTCCTGGGAAGTGTCATCCCTCTTTCCATATCCATACACAGGAATCACAGTGCTGCCTCTTTTCCCTCCTGCTCTTTCATGTTCAGATGAAACTAATCAAAAAAGGTAACTGGCAAATCTAAGAAGGAATGACCACATAAGGATCCACGCTTACTGGTGTTTACTTGATGGAAACTTCAATCCTACTGTACCTACTCAGGCACAATTTTGTGTTGTGACTAGAGGATGAGCTCTGAAGACCACTTTTATAAAGTTCTGTCACTACCAGTAGCTTGATGATTTGCTTGCTAAGAAACAGATTAACTAAAAGTCATCATTTGCATACAGGGCATCTTTCAGGATTTCAAGCAACAGGTTAGATTATGGTATAGACTGCTAATTCATGAGTCATATCTTTATACATGTTAGCTTCACTTCATTAGGTACTACACTGAGTAAATAGTGCAAAAAATTCTCAGTGGCATCATTTCTACAGCAAACTTTTCTAAAAGAAATGTCGTTTAGAACATATATGCAGAGAGATGGCACATAAACCATTAAACGGAATGTTATGATTTAATTTACCCAGCATATTCTTGAAAATATTTTATTTCCTCTGTAAACATTTCTATTTACATTTATGAGAACAAAGTCAACTGAAAGTAGGTAAATGGTAGAGATGGACTTGAGCATAATGATCTTTTGAAGGTGTGGGCAATAGTTCAGTGTAGAAAGTATGCTTCTGAAGGTGGAAAACTTTGACAAAGAATTTTGCAAACTGGATATGACCTTTGTAAGGTTGAACCAAAGGTTCCTACTTGCTTTTCTGACTACAGAAATACAATCTCTGCAGCCAAATCAAATCCTTCTATCTTGTAAGATCTGAAAAAACAATCCTCAGATTGGAAGAGGAATCAGCAAGTTGGTGACCTCCTACTAATGATGACTGACTGCACATTTATGTTTTAATTCTGGTGATATCAAATAAAATGTGAAGATGGAAATACTCCACAGAGTTGATCTACGTGACTGGCACCACTCTAATTGTCCTCTCTGCCTTAACTAAAGTGGCCACAGCAACACTGCAAAGCTGTCCTACAGTTGTGTTCTCACTTGTTTAATTACTTGGCATATCTGAATGTTATTCTTACTCTCTCTCAGTGAACTGCAGGATAACCAGCCAGACCTTTGGGCACATGAAGGATGGTATGCATATGGGGAAGGGCAACCATGAGAATGCACAGGCAGACTGCTAGAACTTCATTTAAAATAACGAAAAGGGATCTTAGCCTGGAAGACAAAAGAACATTGGTTGCAGCAAGTACCCCTGACTAGTTCATGTTTGGGATGCCACAAGATGTACATGTGAGGGAAAAAGGGAGTTGTGAGCATCCAAGGTTGTTGGATGAAGTTGTGAGATTCAAGGCATCTGCAGCAAGAGACAAACACATAGACATGTCAGTACTGAATATGGCAGCATGCAGGTGTGCTTGCACTTTTCCCCTCAGAAGGACATGCTATTTGTAATATACATATGTCCATGCAAATGAGAAATAAAGAATCACGTTTAGTAGTTTGACATCAGTGGAATGACATGTCCCATGACTTGCGCTTGGAGAAAAGCTAATGAGAGATCTGGGTTTCAAGGTACACAGAAATCAAGCAATTTACACCATTATTAAAGAGCGTGTAAGCAAAAGCCTGCCATCCTAAAGTGCTTTTCTTAAAGCTGCCACTCAGGAGTTCACATTAATAGGGTGTGTCATTTATTTTGAAGGATGTGAACTCCATTTTGCCCAACTTGCTGCCTGTAAGGAAGTTCAGCGACTCATTACTTTTCCTTGAAGACAGCCATAAGCCAAAAGTATTAGTTGTTTTGTCCAACAAGTAAGTGCAAAACTCATCCTGTACTTTATCATCCTATAAATGTTTTTCTTAGCCTAAAGCGTGGAAGTTACAAGTGAGTTAATGTTTCATGGATTCATTCAATTTTCTATTCTGCTCACACTTGGAAGCAAGAACCAGCATTACACAGCTTCTACAAGAGTCAAAGAAAAGCTGTGTACAGCATTCATGAAAGTGTAACCAGTCTTCCAATGCTGCGAGATGCAAGCCCTTCACGTAGAGTTTTAGCAACAAGACAGACAGAATGCTATTCCATCATCCCTAGTTCAGAAAGCCTATGGAGGGAAGCACAAAACACCAATAGCTTCAAAAAAAGGGACCGATTTTATGGAAGAAAATTAGGACAATGGGGGAGAAGAAAAAAATTTTTTAGAAAAAGGCAAGTAGCTTGTGGCCTCCAGAAGACAAAAAAAAATGATGGAAAGCATTTTAAGAATGACCATGCTGATAGATTCAGGAAAAGAATTTGATCAAAACACCCCACATTTCCTTGTTTACAACTAGGCAATATTTTTGCTTGTGATAACTCAAGAAACTTAAAATTAAAAGGCACAGAAAATGAGCAATAAAAGGGAGGCTTTCAATTTTTACCTTTTTACCACCCCATCCCACCCCAGCAGTCCCCAGTGACATCATTTACATTTATTACACTTCTGGATAAAACTTGTCCATTGACAACTGACCTAATAATCATTAATATTAAAGCAGTGGCTCATGAAGTTTCCCAGAATACAATCTTGATTTTCTATTTGTAAACACACTAAAGAGCCAATACATTGTCCATATATGGATACCCTCATGAATCTAATAAATGCAAACACAAGACAGAACTGATGCTTCTATTTCAACACAACTATAGTTCTAACAGTTCTCTTCTCCAGGAGGACAACAAGGTCTTTCAGACTGTACCTGCTACTTATTTTTGCTTTGTTTTCAAAGATCCTCTTTGGACAACAAGGTCTTTCAGACTGTACCTGCTACTTATTTTTGCTTTGTTTTCAAAGATCCTCTTTGGCAGACTGAATATTCTCCCTCTCGCTCCTTCTCATCTCCAGCTCAGAACTTACTATTGTCTAACTGTGCCAAACGGGGTACCCATTTTTGTTACAACTGTTCAGAAATATAAAGATAAGCATTGGTATTTACATTAGCAAAGCCACAACATTAAAGCTGGTTTATCATCTGTATCAGTGACCTGGAGGAGGAGACAGAACATGCTCTTATTCATGAGGTTTGCAGATGACAATCAACTAGGGAAGGGAAGCATCTGACACAAGAGCAGGGCTGCCACCTCAAAGTACCCAGACAGCCTGGAGGAATGGGTTAACAGCAGCCTCATGAAATACAGTCAGGACAAATGACAATGCAGAGCCCTGCAGTCACAAGGCTAGGGGTGGGAAAGAGTTCTAGGTGATGGACCCTGGGCAGGGGAGGGCAGCAAGCTGTGCCAAGACCACCCATGTACCTGGGCAGCAACAAGGGCCAGCAGTGCCTAAAGTCTCATGAGCAGGTCAGAGCCCTAAGAACCAGGAAAAGGCAGGGATTGTACCCTCAGCGTGGTGCTTGTCAGATCCCATTTGGGTAAAGCCTCCAATTTGGGTCACCAGCACAGAAACAAAACATTGGGAGGTGATGGGAAGCCACCGAAACAGTGAGGCTGGAGCCCTTGCCCTGCAACAAGAGGCTGCAGGACAAGGGCTGCTTCAGCTGGGAGGAGGGATGGCTTCAGGGGCACCCAACAGCATCCCTGGCAATGATAGGAGGAAACGGAGGAGACGCAGTTATGCTTTTCACAGCGGTGTGTGGTGGGACGGCAAGAGGCAGCTGCACAAGCTGACACATGAGAGGCTCAGGCTGGAAATCAGGAGAAGTCTTTTCCCCATGAAGACAGTCCAGCAGTGAGGCCAGGTCTCAGGGAGGTTGGGCCACCTTCGGCCAGGCTAGGTTTCACACCCTGGCAGGGAAGGGTGAAGTCCTGAGCAGCCTGGTTTGTCCCCATGGCTGAGCCTCTGATGGTCTCTGCCAGCATGAATAATTCTGCCACTGTGTGAAACACAGCAGAACAGTTTCCACTAGCAAACAAAATGTAAACCTCAAAGTTTGTCCCTCTCCTCTCCAAATGGGTAAACATCCTTTGGGCTTTTTCATCTCAATTAGTTCTACCAACATGTAAAGTCTTGGTAAATTTTCTGGTTTAGACTGCATAACATATATTATTATATAACTTTAAGTAGGCTTATTTATACGTACAGTTTCTAACTTGTTCTACCTTATAACTACTGAATTTATTCTGCTTAATATAGAACCATATGTCTCAAATGAGAGACATTTTATCTTCTTATTACTTCCTCCCATCACAGCAGCCCTGTTTGTGTTTCATCTCTGGAAAGTCAAACAAGCAATGCTTCATGTGTAACATCTAAGTTCTGCTTTTGCAGAAGTAAACGTGAATCGCTTGGTTGTGGAAACAGATATCTAATAATGTATTTAAGGTAGGCACATGCTCATTTGCTCACCCATTCCACTTAACAAGCACCGAGCTCTTATACGAAGTTAGTCATAAAAACACTTCATCTCACTGTCAGATCAATCTGTATTAAACTAATTCACCACCAATAAGCAGTGACATCTTTATTGTCATGGCTTTTGACATGGGTGCAGGACTCACCCCTCCTGCCTTTTGCAGCTTTCTTCTGAATTCCTCTGTCGGGTTGTTGAATGTGAGCTTTTCACAGCGGAGGTGATTTACAGGTGGGTGGCCTTCAAGGTGCAGGAATAAGTCATAGTCAAATCGAACTTTCTTAGGTTCTTCCTGAGGGTTGAAAATAACCAGATAGAAACATCTAGCACCAAAACTAAGTTGAAAACAAGGGCTACATAAAGACAGTCAATTAAAATGAAAATGATGCCATTTTTAACCATTCCCTGCATTCTCAGACACATTATGGAATTTACCAAGCGTCAGCGGGGCTACAGTAAATCAGAGAAGCTCCTATCAGCCCATGATAACACATGACAAAATGCATGAACTTCAAACTGTCCTGACAAGGCTTAGTTGAAGTGTTACATCATATTTGGCACAGGCTACAGACACACACATAGGCAAGTATCATGATTCAGCTGACACAAGGTAACTCACTCACCAACACAATCACACTTCTGAGCCCTAGATAGTACTGAAGACACCCTAGTAAGTTTAGAATCCAAATTTCCCCACCAAAGCCAAACTCTATTCTTTCCTCACAAGTTGTAGAAAGGGGTAAGAATGAAACTGCTGCAGCCAACTATACTTGGTCACCTATGCATAGGGTCTGCTCGTTTATTAATGAAACTTCATTGCCTTGAACAAGTGTGGCCAGCTAGATTTCAAGTGCTCCACCACAGCTTCCAATGATTAACATTCTCTGCCACTGCAGCGAAAAAATGAAACTGAATGTTCCCTGTACCAATATGGAAAGAGAAAAAAGAGGAAAGGCAAATTTATCTTGGAAGAAATTATAAGTGCTATACTGTCCTGAGAAAGCCTCAGCTGAAAAAGGACACTAGTGGCATTGAATGGATTTCAGTTTGTAATACCAGAGAAAAGATCTTAGTGTGTTCTATGTTATACATTTACACACTCTCTTCTACAAGCTGCATATAACTTATCATTGCCTTAAAAGAGCACTTAAGCAGACCTTTCTCCAAAGGCCCTGGTGTGCAACAGAAGCCACCAAATCAATGTCAGTTTTAAGGCAGAACTAAGGAACAGCTCAAATTCAGGAAAAGTTTTAGTAAAAAGGGAACCATGAGGGAAAAGGAGGAAGAGACACAGCACATCTCCAACACTGCATGTAATCAAAATGTGTGCTCCGTTCAGTGACAGATGCTTTAAAAATTCACATTAAAAAATGTTTAGTTTTGATTCAGAATTCCAAAGATGTGAAGAATAGAAAGCAGAGAAATTTCAGGTACTCTAAAAGTTAAATCTGAAGTTTCAAACACAGCAAAGGGACTTTCGTATTGTCGCATCTCTAGACTTGAAGCAGAAGAAACAGAAGGGGACCTGAAGTAAGAGGCCTGCAATAGTCTGTTTCTGAAGACAAAAGTGAACAGTTCCCTTAGATGAACCATTTTCTTGATGGACCATTTTCAAAGGCAATTATAGATGAAGATATTTCTTATTGTTTCAAAGATTAATACATGATTTCTTATACAAAAAAAACTGGAAGTGATTTACTCCCTGGTCTGCTTAGAAAACTGCGATGTTGCTACAGACAAACAGTTGGTACATGCAGTTTTGTCATAAAAGCAAAGTTACAAGAATTTATAAACGGGAGTCTTCAAAGAACTCTGTGGAAAGTTAGATGTACATAACCAGTGATTTCAACTATACAAAGGACTCTCAGTACCATTGCCATTATTTCAAAATGGTGGGACAGTAAAGGCAGTTTATGAGCATCCTAAATGGACTCAATTTACAGAGTAGGAGTCCTCACCTAAAAGCATTTTTTCAAGGACTTTGTCTCGATGGCTAAGAACTATAACCTGCTGCTGCTGAATGTGGGAGGGGGGTTTGTTTGTCATTTCCTTAGTTCTTTAAAGTTTGGAATATTTTCTGTCAGGGTGAAATGCCTACTAGATTTTCTACCAATTTCTCCTTAGTCCTGGAGTAGGGACCTTTTAATTCTTCATGGTTCAATTCTTCATGGTGCCTGCCCTCTCTATTCATCAAAAGTACTTACTGAACCAGAAATTGAAAAGTTGTCTACCTTGAATAAGTGATGATGGTCTGTCTCCTCTTCCTCCTTCTGTCTATCTCCTCTTTTTCTGTACTGGAATACCTGTAAAGTGGCTTAGGGGAGGAAGAGTAGCTGAGCCAGGAGAAAGCAGCAATTTGCCTCAGGAATGCCAGCTCAGTATTTGTGCCACTCTTCCTTTGCACTGTACCGACCCCAGGGAAGGGCATGCTGCTGCAGTTGTGTGAAGAGCTAGCTGACCCACAGTCCAACTGCTGCTTGTTGTATTCCATGACACCAAAATAGGGGTGAGGGATGTTTGCAAACTTCCTAATTCCACATGCTGCTTGAGGGTGAGGTGAGTTGTAATCACTGCTGCCCTCTCGATCTCAGTCTAAGCCACAACTCCTGCTGGAGAACTCCTGAGACTTGCAGGTCTCCACAGTCAGCAAAGGCAGCCAAAAGTCTAAGTGGAAAACAAAAAAAGAAATGTTGGGCGGGAAGCTTTCTGTAGAGATGCTTCAGTGATTGACTCACTGTCTTCTGACTTTGTCTACCCAGTTTTGAGAAGAGAGGAGTTAAAGAGAACAGGCTGCTCTTCACTAGATTTCCTGAATGAATCAAAACTGCTTCCCTAATGGAGACAGAGCTAAAAAGCATGCCAAAAAAGCCAATCAACTCACTGAGGCAGTTCTGTTTCCTTTTCCAACAGCAGATTAAGCCCTGCTCTTCACAGATTGATACAGGGAACATTTCAGAACTACTTGTTAGAAACCTACAACTTAGAGGGTGCCTGAGCAGAACTATCCACACCTCATACCTTGGCAGAGCTTCCTATGAAAGACAAAACAATACTGCAATCACTACTTGAAGGCACAGACAGCTAACAAAGTTGTACTCCAACACAAATTTTAAGTGGCCAGGAGTCCAGCAAAATCATTTACTATGCATTCCTATTTTATTTTGGTCTTATGTTTTTCACCAAGCATTCAACACATTAAAGATGTAACACTGACTTGACTAAAATAATTATGTTAAACTACACCTTGGTAATTTAAAATAAACACAAAGGTATCTTAAAAGTGCATGCAACGTATAATACCTCCACTGAGGGCACATGACGTACAAAAGGAACTTAAAATATTGCAGTTACTAAAGTACTGTACATTAAACCACGCAAGCTTTTCGCTCTTTAATTCCATTCAAATCCAAGTCTTTTTATCTGAATGAGTCATTAGTAATACAGACCCTGTTACGTACATTAAAGGAGATTCTGTACTTGCTATCTAGGAGACTCACAATACCTACAGCATTTACTTAGACTCAGAATTTGAGATTCCACAATACCGCAAGCTTTGTAGAATGGCACTGGGTTTGTTTTTAAGCTGTGCCTCCTGGCAATGTTGAGTTGAGTAGAACCAATATTCACATGCAGTGTGAAAGAATGTTTTTTTCAGATTGAGGATGCAGGATTTAAAAAAAAAAAAAACAAAACTGTTTTGAAAGATCAAAAAATGAACAAATCAAGAAGATTAGCAATACTAAAAAGGAACAGTCAGTTCACTATGAAACCAATATAATCAAGATCAGTTTCTTTTAAGTTTAAGTGGGTCTTGAACTTCCTTAAGTATTATTTTAAGTCTGTCCACTTCTGAGTAGGGCTATTAATTCTTCTGAATAATTATATTCAACTTCTTTATTTTATCAGGTAATCCTGATTTCATAGAGTTATCTACTAAACACGCATTTCTAAAAGTTACAGTGACTTTGAATTGAGGAACAGCACTGACAAAGGTAGCTTTAAAACTAATTTTTAAGTGAGTTTATGAATCAAACTGTAAATCTTTAAAAAACCCTGATTACACATGATTATTTTTTTTGGATGAAAAGTATGTAATTCCATACCTTGTTTTTGAAGTAAACCTCAATTGGTAAAATGAAACCAGCATACCCAGATTCTTCAACTTTGTAGGGTGGGTCTTTGCACACTGAAACAAAGAAAAAACCTGTATTTAACACACACACACAAAAAATGTTTTAAATGCACAAGGAAAACATATAAGCAAATAAGCTGTGACTATAGTTCCATGGCAGTGTGATTACAAAACCGTATGTGCACAGTAGGACTTACCTGTGCACAACTAGACGTGAATTTTGCAAGCAAATCCTTCCCGCCTCTAAACAACCTACAGTTTAAGGATAGCAAATTTTCCATTTTCTTTTCTTTTTCAATCCTTTCAGACTGCTAAAACAGAACCACCAGTGACTTCAACAGCAGGTGGACCCACTGAGTACCCAGAACAGCTACATAGTCCCTGCAGCCAAGGATTGTTCTAGGAATAGAAAATATATAGGAATCCACCCAGAAGAAAGTTAAACATGTAGAGGGCAGAAGAACTGCCATTCATGTATTCATAAACGAATACTAATATAATCCTAATTATAATAAATGTAATTTAGAATAAATAAATTTAATTAGAACTAATGCTAATAAAATTGAAATCTGTAGCACTAGGGAGAGGCAGGACGCAACACAACATTCCAGTTTATAGAGAAGAACCTCAGGAAGGTTAGCTATTGTGTTGTGTTAAAATAGCATCCAGGTTTACACTATAGGATTCAGACTCCTTTAACATGACCATGGGTATTACTAGCTCCAATATACAATCTTTTCCTTCAATTTTTCAGCTTAACCCAGGGCTTTCAGTTAAATGGGATCCCCATAGTTCTGAACTCTCTGAAGAAAGTGGTACTAGCTTGCCAACTCCAGCCAGCGACACAAAGCTGTTAAGAGTATTAAGAAGCCTTCCTTCTCCTGTTTGGTTGCATAACAACCTCATTAGAGAATTCATGTCCGTGTAACACCTAAGCATAAAGGTAGGCTGACCCGGAGGAACTGCGCATCTCCTGCAGCGTCAATTCAGATGCTTCCAAATGCTTCATTGATATGTGTGACAGCTCTTGTCATATGCACTACCACCTCAATGACATCACAGTACTCTAACAGTTTCTCTACTGAAGACAGGTAGAATAAAGCAATTAATATAAAAAGGCCTGACTTCTTCAGAAACATTTGGTCAAGCTCTATCAATCTTGCTGACAAAAAGAAAATTCACACTCCTAGATGGATCATCCTTTGCCAGGATGCGTTGCTCTTGTCAGAATTGCCTGGTAGCTGCTCACTGCAGTGTATCGGCTGCAACTTAAACTATACCTTACAAAAAATGTGTCTTCCAGTCAACTGTGCAGGACCTGAATACCAAAATTATTCTTTTTAGCAATGGGCAATTACCACCCTCTATCATCCTGAAACTATGACAAGGCACATCAGAGACATCCAGGAATATAACTGCTGCTCTGAGGACACACAAGCTTGGTTAATCCCCAAGTAAAAGAACACAACAGAATTTTCTCCTACTAGCTTGCCATTCTCCTCCTGCTCTGTTAGCACCAAACCACGCAGTGATTTTAAGGATGAAGAAGATTCCAAGTCCTTGCTCTGACCAAGTCCTTGCAGTTGGCTATCACTACCCTGTTCACCTCATGCAATCAATGGAAAGGCAAAAGGATGAGAAAAATGGAGAAAGAATTCTCTTTTCCAAACTCATTCTGCAAAACTGTTCTCTTGCACCTACAGAATTTAGTCTGTTTTTCTTGGCAGGAAAAAAGAGGACATACAGTTTATAAAGTGGGATTTGAAGATTTGGAGACAAAAAAAAAAAAGTGTTAAGATGATAGATCAAATCTGAGTGGTGGTTTCAGATATACAAAGCTTTTACGCTGAAAACTGAGCATTTTGTGTTAAAACCTCCCAGAAGCAGTATTTTACCTTATATTGACACCTCTTCCTTTAAGAGGGCTTACCAGCATTTGAAAAATGAAAATATAATAGCCCTAGTTAAGCATAGTAATAGGTCACATTAATATACAGTGACAACTTTTCAGCCAAAGATAGATGAGCATTCCTGCTCCTCCTCTGCCTTCAGAAGACAACTTGAAGAGAAAGCCTTCCCAGTATTATTTGCATAGCCAAGCAGGCTTCAGAAGTCCAAAATCCACTTACATATAAACAGGGCAAAATTATGCAGCAGATATTTATCCAGATGGAAGCATGGAAACTTTAGAAACTGTAATAATACATTAACTGTTACAGAGATTTCAGGCTCCATTACATGACAAGTCACAAATCACTTTTTTTTTTTTTTTAAAATAAATATCACGTCAGCCTCTTCCTGAGCACTTAATTGGTGCAGAAAACACTGTCAGCATAAATATTTTTCATTATCTCCCTCAAATCTCTCTTCTTTCAGATTTATACAGCTGTTAGCCATGCTGAATAGTACCTTGTCAAAGTTTCACATTACATTTCTGAAAACAAAGTCTGTTGCACTTGCAGGCTTTGTTGAAACTTGGGTGAGGGGTTATAAAACACTTGATTCCCAAGGAAACTACTTTGGGTGCCTTCTCAAATGGAAAGATGGGCTTTTAATAGAAGGAAAATTCTATGAGCAAAGCTCCTTGCTATTGCATACGTGTAGACTGCCACTAAAATGAAAGCTATTACATTTTCCTCACCTTTCTTGTGGAAGTCACTATTAAATCACAGAATCACAGAATCTCGGTAGTTGGAAGGGACCTCTGAGATCATCAAGTCCAACCACACAGCAAAAAAAAAAAAAAAAAAACCCAAAAAACCCAAAAAACTACAAACCACCACACCCACAACAAATACCACACCACACAACACCCACCAACCAAGCCCTATACCAACAGCACCACATACAACACCCCACCACACCCCAATAATCTCGGGCACTAGAGCATGCTCTGAAGAGCCACATCTACATGTTTCTTAAATACCTCCAGGGATGGCGACTCCACCACCTCCCTGGGCAGGCTGTTCCAGTGCCTGACCACTCTCTCAGTAAAGTAATTCTTCCTAATATCTAATCTAAACCTCCCCTGCCGCAACTTCAGACCATTTCCTCTGGTCCTGTCATTATTCCCTTGGGAGAAGAGGCCAACACCCATCTCTCTACAACTTCCTTTCAGGTAGTTGTAGGGGGCAATGAGGTCTCCCCTCAGCCTCCTCTTCTCCAAACTAAACATGCCCAGTTCCCTCAGCCTCTCCTCATAGGACTTGTTCTCCAGACCCCTCACCAGCTTGGACACGCTCCAGCAGCTCAATGTCCTTCCTGTAACCAGAGGCCCAAAACTGAACACAGTACTCGAGGTGAGGCCTCACCAGTGCCGAGTACAGAGGCACGATGACCTCCCTACTCCTGCTGGCCATGCTATTCTTGATACAGGCCAGGATGCTGTTGGCCCTCTTGGCCACCTGGGCACACTGCTGGCTCATGTTAAGCCTGCTGTCTACCAACACCCCCAGGTCCTTTTCTTCCGGGCAGCTTTCCAGCCACTCTGCCCCAAGCCTGTAGCGCTGCCCAGGGTTGTTGTGACTGAAATGCAGGACCCGGCATTTGGCCTTATTAAACCTCATCCTGTTGGCCTTGGCCCATTGATCCAACCTGTCTAGATCCCTCTGTAGAGCCTTCCGACCCTCAAGCAGATCAACACTCCCACCTAGTTTGGTGTCATCTGCAAACTTACTGAGGGTGCATTCGATCCCCTTGTCCAGATCATCAATAAAGATATTAAACAAGACAGGCCCCAAAACTGAGCCCTGAGGTTTGTAGTGGCAGAAATAGCTTCCCTGTGCCCTATGAAACAGCACCCATTGGTGTAAGATCTTTTAGTTTCGTTGAGCTGTTTCAGGTTGTAAACAGGGCTGCAATGACATGTGTGGTTTAGCCAAGTCAGCAGGTAACCACCCTAGCAAGGTTTGTTAAGTGGAGAGAAGAGAGGTGGCAAGAGTTAGGTCAACCACAGAAAAGTTAGAGAATAAAGAAAAATAAGAGGAGAGGAAAAAAAATCCATAGTGGAAAAACAAAATAGAAACAAAAGCAAATGGCAAGTATAGACCGACAGAGCAAAACAAACAACAGAAACTAGGAAGGAGTTATTTGAAGAAGGAAGCACCTGGGAACCCTAACAGGCTTCTAACAAAGCTCATTAGAAAAAGCAGCTACACCAGACAGGTAGATAAGCAGAAAACACTACCCTTTTACAGACAAACAAACAATTTCCTCCCTGTCCAGAGGGACAGAGGCATTTCCCCAATGACTGCTCCTCTCCTTTGAAGCGGCACCTACAAATGCATTTCAAGCATCAGATAAACAACACAGCTTGCACAACGTTATCATTAAGCCTTAATTACTGTGGTCAGGTTCTTTTCCAGTGGAAACAGCTTGTATCCTCACAGTGCATTTCCTCCCTCTCATATCTTTTGACTAGGTGGTCCAACTTTGATACAGCCCCTATGACAATTAAGACCCTACAGATTCCTACTGATCCAGTGAAAAATTAGTGCCTGCACTGAGAAGATAGTTCCAGAGAATGTCTTCACTAAGATGCAGGGAGAAGCAGCCATCACCATGCAGAATTACAAAACAGGTATAACACAGTGTCTTCTGAAAACTCTAGGGCCAGCACAAGAGATGTAAAGAGAAAAGCAGAACTATGAAGAGGCTCACTGACCACAGAATAAGCTGGGTATTTTTGCCTGTGCAAGGCAAGATAAGGAGTTTGTGATACTATACTGTTATCACACCTTTGTCAGAATGCAGAATCATTTCTTCCATAAATGAAAGCTTTACTCTTAGGTATTTGCAAATGGATTTGCTAAACACAGATATAACAAAACTCTAAAGCAATCTTAGGTGCAATTTTGAAATAAAAAGAGTTTATGCAACACAATCATACAGCCAAAGTCCATCTCTTCTGTTCATCATGCTTCATTACATTTTGGGATGAATACTACTGTAATGAGTAGTAATATTGGTATGTTTGAGGCCACATCAAACTTACTGTTTGACTTACATCAAATAGGGCTCTAGGTATAGAAAAAGCTGTTCAAGTACTGCATATG